ATTCAGCTATATCAGCATTGACCATATCTGGGGCAGGAGGTATTGCATTTCGACCTGTGTACTGGAATCCTTTTAACTTTTCTTCTCCTTTCTTCTCCTTCATTTTAGCATTAATAAGTCTATTTATAAGGGCAAGTGGACTTCTTGAGTAAACGGCAACAAGTGTGGGAGGATTCATTTCGGAGTCTTTACTACATGCTTCGGAAGAAGATTTGTGACCTATTTTATGGTAATGACCTAAACTTTTGCAATATTATTTGTTATAAATCTGTAAATAAATGCTTGGTTATCTCTGTGCCGAAAAGTGGTGCTCAAAGCCCTTATTTACTGGGTAAATGTTTTCTGTGACTCGAATTCTCGTTGTTAGTGTTACAATGATTGACTAGAACTCTCGGACTGGTAATATTTGTTGACATTTCCTTCCATGTTTTTGGAATCGGAAATATCATTCCATTTGATTACATTTTCTTCGTGGACCATCCATGGTCAAACTCTGGACAGCATATTCTTCATATCTTTTACCTGAGGAAGTTATCACAGCCTAGCCTATCTTCCCATCTCTTTAGGGGAAGTTGTGAGACATTTCTGTCTATTCTGAGTTTTTCAGAACTTCTGCCACCTTTTGGTTATGCTTTCTTTTATCCCAGTGATTTCTAATTCCTTATGATGACTTCTGAAGAACACTCCTAACACTCCTGTCCATCTGAATCATTGGCCTCTCAATCTCTTTACATTACCCCTGATGAAAGTCCATGCACTATGAGTTCCTGGATCAACACAGAGATGGACTTCAGTGTTCTATTTCATGCAGAATTCCAATCGTAAGTGAAATCAGAAAAGTGAATAATATTGTAGCCTGTTGCAGGGTAAATCAGCTTCAAATGTTCTTTATTGATTTGTCATTAAGGGGAGGATGAGTTAAATGGTTGGGTATGTCCATTGTCCAGTTTAGAGTTGCACAGAAACAATGCATTTAGAGTTGAAATACTTGAACTACTCGAGAAGAGGCATGAAATTCAAGAACATCAGATCAGTTTATTATTCTCTGTATCCAAGGAAAGTGGCCTCCATCTACGTGTCAACAAAAATGCCTTTCTCATAATTAATATGCTTTCACGTTGTCCACGTATATTCTGTAGAGAACTGATAAATGCATCTCTGATGCAGCATTGGTACATTCGAGAATTCTCAACTGACTAGTTGTAATTTGTAAATAGCCCCATAGCACTAGAACAAGGACCTAAAGTATTATGACCTCAAGAGGTTGCAAAATATTTCATTTCTTGAACCTTTGGGAAGAAGTTGCTTTGAATTGAACCAAAATGGAAAAAAAGGATTCATGTCGAAGAATTCAATTTTATTTGGATTAGGGCTTAACTTGTTATAATTATCTTCTCACGCCCTGGGATTAAGGCTTATGTTCTTGTAATTAGCTTCGAAGATCCCATTCTAAGCCGTAAAAATTAAGTGTGTCCTACTTGGCAACACTAATGTTGTTGCAAAAAGGATGATAACAGAGGCATGTAAAAATCAGAATAATTTGCCCAAACTCAAGGTAAAGATTGCTGGAGCTTAAGCAGGGAGATTTGACAGTTGATTGTTCTCTCACTCTCTAGACATATCCCTCTCTATCAGGATGCTTCAAATTATGGCATTTATAATCATCATGACTAGAAATGACAACTTCCTGATAGTGTTAGAAAGCAATGTCCATGATATATTATGTTTTGAGGCTGGCGATCTTTCTTTTCTAAGTTTTATCACATGTAGATAATCCTATCACTTCTTTCCAATTCTTATTACAACGAGAAAGGAGTAATTTGCTAATTTTTTTGAACAGTCTGCACTGCGCAGTTTGTAGTCATGTTCACTGGGTGTAATGGTTCAGTGCGCACTAAACGCTCCTGCTGTGCCTACATATCTCGCTCAACAAGATATTTAAGGTCACTGTTGAAAGAACAGGTAAGATTTATTTTCTTCTGGAAAAGGACTAATCTGAACGATTGGAATCTAAATTTGGTATTGAATAATATGTACTTTACATACCAGCCTCAGGTGGCTATATGATTTCCCTTATTTAATAATTTTGAAGTTCTTATTTCTAAATGAAATTCGTCTTGTTGATCTACAACCTAAATTTATTCTGTTAAATTTTAATTTGATTGCAGGATGTTTCTTTTTCTATGCCGCTTTGCAAATCCAAAGTGGAGGAAATTATTGCTGAAGACTTGGTTGAACTTTCAGAAATCGAAAAATACAATCTTGGAGAGGTTTGGAATTTATCCACATAATTTCTTATTCATTATCTATTGGAATAGCTGAGTTTAGGTCTAGGATAAACTTTGAAGGCTGTGACAAATTTGTGGGAAAATAATCACTTGGAAATCAAATGATATGGAGTTATTGACTGATAGTCCCTTAAAAAGGGGTATGCAATCATCTCATATCCCAAATTTGCCGAGAGACGTGGAAAAATGATTATATTTTTCATGTTTCACAACAATTTCTGTCTCATTCTGAAGTTGGCAAATATAACTTCCACACTGGTAAAATGAGACTTGTATTGCCATTCATTTTGAGTGTTCATGATTCCAGTGACTATATATCCAAGCTTAACTCCTTTTTTTTTTTTTCTAATTACTGTT